CAGCTTCTTGAAAGCATTGTTACTTTTTAAGAGATTGGATTAAAGCAGTGTGCGGAGAAATTGTTATATACGTATGTAAAGGTTATATGGCGTTTTAGCTTGTAATTTGTTAAACTTGACTTTTATCATTTTAACTTCTATAAATTAAACTGCTTTGATATGAAATCCATTTAATGGGACAGAAGTATTATTATCTTTTGGTATCTTTTTTATCTTAACTTGGCATTGATCTTTCTAAATTATATTCTTTTTTCATACTGTAATCTTTTTGGGAGAGTTCAGTCGCATAAAGACAATTCGAAATCACATAGGAATTCAGGACTAGAACATTCTGAATGTCTTGCAGTAGATGGTATAGCATAGTTCGACCGCGAAGCTTTTAGTTTTCCTGGAGTTATATCAAAAGACTGTTGTATAATACTCCGTTAAATACTTCGTAGCACGCATCAGTTTCGCTGCTTCGGAAATCAGCGACCAGTCAGGAAATTTCCAGAGTGCGTGTGATTCCATCCACCGGAGATTTCAAAAGCCCGTGCTGTAGTTTAATTCGGCAGGCTCAGCCCATTGTTCCTAGTGTATGACAAGGTATTTCATATCCCATTTGTAAAATACTATGACTCTGGAAGTAAAGAAGTGCTTCATTGCCCGACAAATTGATGCGTTGTTGGTAAAGCGTTTCCTGGACAAAATATGGGTCAGGTATCGAAAACAAAAAGGTCACTTCTTGAGAAAATTACAAGTATGTATGAAGGATGAGAACACAGTTTTGCATCTCCAAATTGATTTGTTGTTTTATTCAGACTGGAGACTGGAGACCATCGGTTAAGCAGCTTAAGCAGCTGTACCGCCGTTACGACTTTGCTTAACTGATGCTTTATTGCTTAACTGATGGAAAAAGCTTTATTGCTTAACTGATGGAATCGTCTGCTACATTTATTAATGAATTTTGAAGAATATATATGAATGATAAGTACATAAAGTTGTAACATAGTAATTGTCTTAAACATAAAATTTGGAAATTTTTAAAAGTAAAAATTAAATAAGAAATTAAAAATAATGACAATAGAAAAGTATTAGGTGAATTTTAAAAAATCAAAATTCAAGGAGTCTTTAGTCTGTAGTCAAGAGTTAATAATAAAAGGTATATGGAAAGCCTGAATTTGAAGTGTTTGATGAGCTAGTCTGTTAGTCTCAAATAAATTGAAGTCTTTGATAATCGTAATTCTTGACAGTATTGAAACTATACACTGCTTTATGAAGAAGAAGGAGTGAGAAGATGGAAGGAGATGATGTTGTAGTGTTTTATTCACACTGGCTTATATAGTCGGGCATTATCCAGAAGTATAGGACTCTGTTTACAAGTGATGGTTTCTTAAGGCACAATTTTTTATGCCTGGCCCCATACCTGCACCACGCCGAACTACATTTATCGTATCATCTCGTGGAAGGAGTGAATAATTCTAGTGGTTAACGGAAACCTTCTTGGAGATTCTCTCACTCCTATGAAACGTGTAGAATTATCATAGAGTACCCATTTCTCATCTACAGTCACAATTCATTGTAGGAATATTTATTCTTTACATTTCTATTTATAAAAATGATTTATTCTAAAATTTATTGGATTTACTGGTCACTTTTACTGATTTTTAAATCTGAGCACACTTCCAAACATCATGCTTTGTTTTCATCGCAGATAATCCACTTGTCCAGACACTTGATAGACTCACTTGTCCAGCTTACTTACGTTTCTTGTTATTTCCAAGTATAATGAAAAAGTTTACATTTGGTGTTTTGGCGATCTCTCATACCGTTTGCCGTGAATATAATTAAATTATATCTCTTAATTAATCCGAATCATTGGGGAACGGACAATGACCATGGAGTTCGTCACATCGTAGGAAAATGCTTCTTACATTAATTATTCTTCCATCAAATGTTCTTCCCAACAACAGTGGAGCTGTAAAGCCGCTGAGCACTAGTAGTTGGAATCGGGGTTCGAATCCCCCTGAGCGGCTGGCTGCATGGGCATTTTTGTGTTTTTCCAAAATGTAACCTTAGAAAGTCCTCCACGAAGGCATCCCTCTCTTTAGACAGATAGACTTTAAGTGCTTTGTCATAATTAAATAAACCAAATCATCTAATGCTCTTTAAAGATATTTTCCTTCGAGCATCTGCGTAATTTCTTCCTTTGAACTCGTAAATGTATAGCAACCTTAACCTGATGGGTTCTGCATTTGATTTTTGTCGGTAGTATTCAAGGCTTATTGCTCATTGAATGAAACACATATTACCGTTGCATAACCGACGCGCGACATTCTCTCACAGCATAAAATTTTTCATAAACCTCAATGCTTGCTTTTTTCCGCAACCAGTAGTTATCTATGATGCCTATCTACGGCCATTTCATTTGCAACAACATAATAATATGCAAATTATGTTTAAAATAATGATATTAAAATGTTTTATAATTTGACGTAACTAAAATTTATTGGATATAAATGGAAAAATCGTATTAATCCAATACTTTTTATTTGATCTAATAGTTTCTTTCAAACCTCAAAACGAGATATGAGAATGGCACGAAATTTGAAAATAGTTAAGCAAAGCATTTGCATTTCCGCATAATTATCATGAAAAAGACATGATAAAGAAGGGTTTATTTCAGTTCTTCAGTTTGTACAGTAAATTCAATAAATTAATACGCAAAATTTCTATTTATTCTCTTTCTTCTAAGTTGCAAAAATGGCAGACTATAGAACTTTATCAAGTATTTAAAATATTCTAGGTTCCTCTTCTTCCACGGATACTGTAATAAAACACCTTATAAAGAATGCAAGTGGTAAGGGAGGAGAAAATTCCTTACAATATATGCCCTGTCATTTAATAACTGTTATGTAGATTATTAAAGTTTACTACTAAAACAGTTATATTCTGAACAGATTTTGATTGCTCCAAAAATCGTTCCTTACTTGTATCAAGTGTTTCTTTCCTAAGAAAAAAAAAAGACTAAACAACCAGTGGCGGTTTTATGTCTTTTCTTGTCTGATCCAGTGAACTACGTTACGCAGTGTGATTGGAGCAAGTTATTTTCTATGAGACTTCATTTTATATCCCTTCAGGTTGTGATGTAAGTGGAAAGTACGTCCAAATAATAACTGGAAAATCCGTATCTCGATACCGATGAAATCCAAATTGACTTTTTACATTCCTTGGTTCGAAAAGATCTAATGGTCTTTGGATTGGCGACCGAACCTTCCTTACAATATGTGACTCGTTGGTGGTTAAATCTGGTGTTGACAATAACTCGTTACCTCTCGGATTTGATTAAGTACGTCTCAGGCGGTTCTCCAGTCTTCTGCTTCGCGATCCCCAGTTTTATACATTAAATATTAATTTTAAATAACAGATTTTGTGGTTCTGTAGTAGGATTAAACATTTTTACTGGTTTATCACCTAAAACAACTATGAAAGTAGCAGCTACGCAATGATAGATTATGTAAATAAACATTACAATATGTAATTAGCAACAAGTTTGCGTAGCTGAAAATATTTTAAGATATATATATATATATATATATAATATTATATGTGCATGAGTAAGAATATAAATTTAAAAGAAAATATGAGTAAGAATATAAATTTAAGAGAAAGCATGCGTAAGAATATAAATGAGTATGAGTACGAATATAAATTTAAGGAAAAAACTGATAACTTAGCCGGTTTGTATTGTGGTTTTTCTCTTTCTGAACAGCGTAAGTGATATTTCTATTATCTGGTAAATATCCTCTTGGCTCGAATATTAAATAGAAGTCGTACAATTAGCACAGCTAGAGGCTAGAATCTAGACTTTTGAATTGTACACAATAATTAAACTCAATCCCTTTGTGTCATCAGGTAAGAAGCGAAAGTAAACGTGTATTTGTTTAGTTCTGTACTTCGAACTGAAGTCAACAATAAATGTTTATTCGCTTTTATTTCTCTTGCATTTATTTAGTGTTTTGATTCTGATAGCATCAGTACGGGATGAAAATTCATCCGGCAGTGTAAAAGATTAAAAAATACTTAGGTAAAACTCGAAGTTAATAACTTTAGACAATAAACTACATTTTGTATGCAACACCATTAAGATTTTGTATATAAATAGAGCAATTTTGTCTTATAACTAATTCTTTTCTAACCAGTAAAGCTGTAGGATACATTTTATGTTAATAAACCAATTTTCTCATGATTTGGAATTATTATTTTTTTTTCTTAACTGTCACCAGGATGTAAATGAGCATTTTAAATCAGAGTTTTTTAAACTTAAAACTCTTTCTGTCTTTTGTCAGCGACATTTACCCATCTCTGCTACAGTAGTTATCTGGCTTTAACCATTTTGCTAGCTGAAATAAATCGCGCACTTAATAAATTGAGCCAATTTTAGTATATCTGAATTATAATCTCTAACATCGAATTTAACTAAATATTGAATTTAACTTTTATGTTACTGATGTATCGCAAGCTGCGAGGAGTTAACTTATAAACCGAAGTCGTGCAGTTGTTCAATTTAAAGCTTCTAATAAAAACGTTGTTTATACCGTATTACGGGCACTGTTGTCATATCACAGACGGGGTGTGAAAACGCTTGTCGATCTTATAGAGTTGATTAAATCTAAATTAATTTATAGGAATGAATCCTACAAATCATTTTAATATAAAGAGGTTTCTAAAAATATGTGTTACTTAAAAAGAATGAAATTCATTTACAATGAATAATGTAAATAACTTGCTCTGTCTGCGATTATTAACGGCATCTTAATATCAAAACTCCTTTCATTTTCTAGTCTTTTGCTTATTTACTTGATCCCAATAACTGCACAAATATCAACATTTTTTACTAATGAGACGACCCCGCTGTTTCCTAGCCAATCATCACCGATGTATCATTGGACGCAACTATTGTTTGCGTCCGGTGGCCGATAGTTGATTTAAAGGGTGGTCACTGCTCATTATGCGATTTCCTTAAATAGGGTCCGAACGAGAAAAAGATCTCTTGTGTCACATACAGCAGTATGTCCTCCACGACCATCGTATCCTTTGCCTTGGTGTTGGTCATTCTTGGTATTCATGTAATGCATGCATGTCCGTTATCCACAGGTATGATATCCTCCTAAATACAACTTTTATGTTATAAACTGTAAATTGAGAAAAGGGTATTTTTTCTAAATACCGCTTTTGTATGTTATAAACTGTAAACTGAAGAAAGGGCATTTTTTAAAATTAATCTTTTTATTTATTAATTGATTTTTTGATATTATCTATTGCTCGGTTATTATTCCTTACATCTTTGCACTTAATTAATACATATTATTATAAGCATCTTATTTTCATTAATAGGTGCTTAATTAAATAATTAATATAGTTAACAAGTCAATATGTAAGAGGAAATAATTAAAATAAATACATTTTGTTAATTTATTTATGTTATTTATTAATTTATTGTTTACATCACATTATTTTATTTGTCTGTTCCTCATGTCATCTGTCTCTGAAAATTTATCGGCCATACATTTATTTTATTTCTTCCATAAAACGGTGCAATCGTTTAGCTGTATTGATAAAATGTTTCTGCGAGTTTCAATTTTCCGAAAAAAAAGTTAAAGTAAAAATGATAAATCTTACTGCCTGCATAGTATTTTCGGAATTAAGAATGAATATTTCAATTTCAGTATATGAGAATTCCAGTTACCTGAACTCTTTACTCGGAATTTCAATTATTTTGTTCATTTGTTCTTTTCTTGGGACCATCGAAAACTGAACTTCCTATTAATTTGGTGATTTAATTTTTTAATTTTTTTATTGATTAAGTAATTAAAAATATTACTGTATAACAGCGTAATATAAGCTTTTGTAAGAAGATGATAAATTATTTTAAATATGTGTATATAGTATGTTTACCTGTTTATAATAAAAGCATTTTTATCTAAACCAAAAGGCATATTTAATAAATACATTCATCTCATTTAATTAAATTTTGACATTAAGGATATTCAGTACAATAACACAGTGATATTTATTGGAGCAAAAAATGTGAGACAATCAGAGATGTCCTCGTCGGGATTCGAATTTCCAATGACCACTTGAATATGCTTCAGTAATGTTACGAATGCAAGCGGTAAGGTAGGAGAAAATTCCTTTCAGTATGTCCCATGTAATTTCGTAACTGCTATAATAGATTATAAAATTTTAACAGTAAAACAGTTATATTCTGAACAGATTTTGTTTGCTCCAAAAATCGTTGCTTACTTATAGCAAGTGTTTCTTTTCTAAAAAAACAGACTAAACAACCAGTGGTGGTTTTATGACTTTTCTCGCCTGATCCAGTGAACTACGTTATGTAGTGTAATTAGAGCAAGTTATTTGCTATTAGACTTTAAATGCAGTTGCTCCTTTTTGATTTCTTCTTTTTCGCATATGATTTTATTTTATTATCTTTAGGGAAGCATTATCTTGTACAGTTCCTCACTTTGTAATCCTAAGTTACTGTTAGAAGTGAAGAATATTAAGAACCTGATAAGCGAATAATCTCTTGAGTTCGTGTGACAGGAAACAACAAGATAGAAGTGTAAACTAGCCCTTTATTATTCCAGCTAGAGTTTAACAAAACTATGTCTTGGAGTGTACAATAAAGCCGACACTTCGGCTTGAACCTAAGATACTATGAATTAACCTAAACTAATCTAAACCTAAGAGCTATCAAAATTCAAAGTCGAAATCATATCAAATAGAAATATATCAAAGTCGAAGCTATCAAAATTCTAACAGAATTGGCCTCTTAACGTTAATAGACTGCGAAGCTATCAAGGGCCTAAAGTACGACCGAGGGTAATAATAGCTTACGAGAGAGTAGCCTAAAAAGGCGTGCAGCCAGAATACCTGGTATCTCTCTCACTCAGACCGAAGAAGTGGTAAGTTGAAGTTAAGAATTGATAGGAAAGGAACTTTAACTCAAAATTTAATTGTTAATATAATTAACATAATCCTTACAATCTTTAAATATGAAATGCAATATTCTCACTAAATTAAGATGTTACAGAATGGAATGGAATTGTTAGGGCTATCAAGAACAAACTTAATATCGTTAACGATGACGTAGAATTTGAAATCATAAGATAAAGTTAGCAAGTTAGCGGAGTTAGCATGCGTGTGATTACAGGGATAAAGAAAGTATGAGAAACTCTTTTGACTGTCCCTATTTTTTTCTTTTTAATTTTATAATTTTATTTTACTGAAACAGACAGGTAAGAAAATCTCCCATTTACATTACAGTTGATAAGGAAGTAATCCTATAAAAAAAAAGAAAAAGAAAAAATAAAGACAGAGGAAGAAATCAATTATCGGCAATTTTTTATTATCCAGATGGATTGTGATAATCTGTGCCGGTTATTGAAACTCTACTGCACTGGTTCTATAAATGTATTATGTTTCACTGTAACAATATTTATATTTTTCTTTTTATAACTAAAAATATTTCCTTTGAATTTCACAGCCTTTTCAATGTAAATATTTACAAGAAAATTTGTATGTTTGTCTAAGCTAAATTGCACATATTTTTTTTTTATAACAGCTCTCATTTTCTAGAAGAAATGCAGAATAATATTTTAAACTTTTATAATATTTTAAGTTAGCAAATGTATTAATTTTAGGCTTTGATGATACCATCCAAGTTAAATTTGTTTTCAATTAAGCGCTTGATCGAAGATGCTTACGTAATTCATCTCCATTACATTGAAATTACAATTAGTCATTAGAATAAGTCGAACACAAGGTAGAAAAAGAATTTTAATGGCTCATACAACAGGAGCAAAAAAAAAAAAAAAAAAAAAAAAAAGCAATACGATAAACTTATTAAGATTTTGTAAGCAAGAGAATGAAAATTCTCAATGCAGCAAAGATTTTTCATGTTCAAGAGCTAAAAAGGAAATAAATTAGTTTGTATTACAGAATTTTTTTGTAATGAAATAATGCTCTGAAAAAAATGATGCAAAAGGTCTAGGCATTTCCTATATTATGTATTAATTTATTTTTCTGTTCATTTAATCAGTCGCACTTCTTAATTTTTCTTGATGAGCTTTCGAAAAACTTTTACATTTTATCAGTCTTAAGTGACAAAGAAAGAAGAAAAGAAGGAAAGTGGGAAAGTTATAACTTAAAAAAAAAATACGTGCTAGCAAAATAAAACTAAGTTAAAAGTAATCACAATTTCTGCTTATTCTGTTGACCGTCTTTATCTGTCGATGCATAACAACACGCAAACCTCTCTGATTCATGCTAAGTTCGAACGCGTATAGATTTTAAAATATGTTTACATGCACTTTTTTTGAAACAGAAAAAATGTATTAAATTGTTTCCTAAAATAGAAAACTGAATGCATTATTAAAAGCAACAACAACCACCATAAAACCTATACTGTTTCATTCGTTAAAAAAATAATTTTACAAAAGAATTGGTAGGACTTTCTGTTCTTATCCAGCTGAAAACTGACAAAATCAAACATAATAGATGAATGAAAATCAAAACTGAAAATCAAACATAATAGATGAATGTTTTATCGGAAACGCTTTTAGGAATTCAAACACTATCATCAACTGCTACTAAATGAAAGAGAAATGCCACAAACGGAAGGTTGGTTGGTTGGTCGACTTTTAATGTCACAAAACCTTGAAGGTTATTATGCGCCAGGCGAATGGTGAATAAAATCCAAAATGCACAAACACATTGTATCAGATGAATTGTATGAACCTGTATTGTTGATGAAGGCAGGGAGAAATGACTGAGAAATGCTTTAGCAACAGGTACAGCAAAACAAAAGAAAAAAAACTTCAAATCATATGGTAAAAAGAGATGTCTTTTAAAAATCTTATGAGGTTGATGTGAGGGTTTTTTCCAATGAGATCTGTTAAGCTAACATTCTTAGAAATAAAATAATATTCACGTTTCTGATTAAAAGCAGGACAGAAGGTTAAAATGTGATTGACTGAAACGGGAACTTTGCGTTGCAAATGCCACAAATAGGCTCATTATCTCCTTTCAAGAGATACTGATGTGTCCGTCTGCAGTGACCAATTCGTAGGCGAATCAGTAGTACATCCTCTTTTCGATTCCCTCTGGACTCCCAATACTCTAAATTGGGTTTTACCTGCTTTAATTTGTTCAGAGTCTGGCATTCCCAGAGTTCTTGCCACCTGGGCAAGATCTTTGTTCTGATGTAATTCCGTATGTCTGTAAAAGGGACATCATTTTCAGAGGTAATATCAGCAGATTTTACTGCGACATCCGGCGAGGTTCATTGCCTTTGATGCCAGCATGTCCAGGCAACCAGCAGTACACAATAGAATAACTTGCGTTTCTCAGACGGAAGTGTGCCTATAAAATTTCTAAGACCAAAGGGTGGCTGGCATTTGTATTTATTGATTTAAAAGGCACTCAGAGAGTCACAGTAGATGATGAACCTTCTGCTATTCTGCCTAGAGATAAAGATTAATGAATTCAAAATGGTAAACGTTTCTGCAGTAAAGACTGATGCAGCCTTATGAAGTTTACTACTCTTGATTTATTTATCACAAACAAAAGCTGCCCCTACATGATCATGATTCTTTGAGCCATCAGTAAAAATTGTTTTATAGTTAGAAAAACTGCTTCTATGCTCTAGGAAATTTGTTTATATTGGACATCATTGGTATTGCTCTTCTTTAGTTCTCCAAAAATGTTTAAGTAGGTGAATATTCACTTTTTACCAGGGAGCAATGCCTAAAAAGTTAAAAGTTTTTGCTATGCCGATTTTTTAGGTTGACTTCTTCAATGAGTGAATGCAAAGATCAAAAGGTGCAAAACATGAAGGACGTGTTTGGTAGATACGCCAGTGCTGATCAGATGTCATTTACCGGACAGGATGTTCGGCTTGTGACATTACTTTATAACGAAGATCTATAGACAACTGCTTGTGTCTGAATTCCAAAGGTGGTTCAAAACAGATGGCATATAAACTTTGGACTGGAGATGTTCTGAAAGCTCCATAGCAAATCCGTAGCGCTTGATGGTGGACTGGATCCAATTTCAGTAGCACAGAAGGTCTTGCTGATCCATAGATAATACAGCCTTAGTCAAGTTTGGGGCGGATTAATATTTTTTTATAAGCATTTTGCTTTATTTTTATTTTATTTATTTTTTCCAGTGGCAGACGGTGAACAGTTACAGTCCATTAATTCATTAGTCCATTCAAGGACAGATATGTTGGTCTCTTTATTATGGAGGCACCTAATAGGTGGGCCACCATCGCCTCCTATAAAGGGACGGACAGTTACAACCATGCCTTCTCCAGGATTCGGACCCAGGCCCTTCGATATCGCAGTCAGGCTTCCCTAACTACTATACCATCTGGGCGGTACAAACAGAAGGAGAAAAAGAATTCTGAAAAAGTATACCAGTGACTAACTATGGCTTCTTCTATAATGAGGCGTAGAAGAAACAAAAGAAATATTGCCATCTAGGGACTAAACAATATAATCAGAAATGACCTGCTTAATAGAAGGGCGAAAACAATGGATTATATTTTAAGCCACTGACACATGTAGATAAGTTTTTACAAATATAGTAAGCCTCAACAAAATCGAATTCACCAACTGCAGAAGCTAACAGTTTTTAACAGGGGCAAAGCTGAGTTTTGTAGCCCAGCATTGCTAGATAATACACATTTTATTTGTTTCCTTTTCGAACATAGGATTTATGTTTCTTGATACGAAATTTTAAGGCTTATCGCATCAAGAAGTATGAAGCTGAAGAAGGCGATACTATTTGAATTGTTCAAATCTTTTCTGTTGAAACGACTATAATCTGAAGTCTATCCCGATTATAGTCGAGTTTTTTAAAGTCATTTTTACTGATATTTTATTATTTTGCTTTCCAATTCAAAATATACTGCTTTGTTGGTGCGCATTAGTGTTTATAATTTGTGTTAAACTTACTTCGGGATGATCTAAGACTTAATTAAAATCAAAAGCGTGATAGAAATCCACGATTTGGGTAGTTTAATTTGATGCCTGATGAAAGAAAAATAAGTCATCTTCTTAACAGGTGGCGAACTTGTAGAAAGGGAAAAAAAGTACACTTTTTTATCTTTGGTTGGTCATACTATGCTTTTAAACTTCATCAAATGTATAGATAAACAAAAATAGAGGAAATTTGACTCAACAGTGTTCAATGAATTAAGACAACAAATATTTGCAAAAGGCACGTGTATCTGACTAATTTCAGAAAATGAGTTTCTTTATTACATTTAAGGATATCATTTAGAATCTTCTCCTGTTTCACAGCTTATAGGTAAGAGTAAAAATTATAATTTTATTTTGAGTTTAGAGTTTTTGTTTTATTTCTTATTTAAAAGTTCAGTTTGTGGATCTCTTAATTTGCCTACATACTATTCCTGAATTAGATATTGTTATTTTTTGACAGGGGCAATGCAAATAACCAGATACAAATTAAGAATGATATCTTGAACATAGATATATCTAATGCAGCTCTAGTTTTATAATTTACAGTTATCGACTGCATAATTGCATTAATGCGAATTGTAACACCAGTTTATTAATGATTAACGGGAATAAGTAACTTCATGGAATATCTATTTATTTTCGCTATAGAAATGCCTAATGAGAAAAATTCTTTCAGTTTTGCTATTTAACATAAAAACAATTATGAAATATTCCTTAAAAGAACGACAAATATAATTATTTTGGATTTTCTAAGAACCTCCATCCTATTAACTTATTTGATATTTTAGATATTTCAGTGCCTGAAGCAAATTGTATCAAGTTAATGAGCGATGCAACAAATGTAGTCTGTTCTCAGATTCAAAATGTTTTAAAATTGCACTGTATGGTGAAGTTAATTAATTGAAAATAGATTCAATGTATTCCATACATTTAAAGCAAGATAGGGTTTTGCCGTGCTATTAAATAGTGAAATTTTCTGTTGAGGAGAATGCAAGTTTTTCTTTTTATCGAAAAATTTTATTAAGAGTTAAGCGTATTGCCCGAATGCTCTTGAGATTGCGCGGTGTCATTTCGGAATAAATTTTATATTGGAATTCTAATTAACCCTACTTTTCCATATCTGAACAGAAGTAAATTTCTGCATGTTAGAATATTGAAACATCCTTCTATATGATGAATAGAGAAACGAATAAGTTTCATTATCATTTTCAAATCTAATACTATCTGACTATAAATTAAAATGATTTCGCTCCGGTATTGTTCTACGTAATTTTTTTTCTCTTGTTGAATGTATGATTGAGAAACTGTATTCCTGATTTTAACTATGTTACAGAATTTTTAATGCCATAAATAATTTCATTATTAATATCCGCAATAATAGTCTTTGCTTTGTTTTGTTAAATGTGTTAACAAACATATCTACTTAGTGCTTTCGGTATTTCATAGTCTCAGTTTGCCGACATTTTTGTAAGTTCAAAAATCGTTTTTCCTTCTTTCAGTTGCTGCTGATGAAAATTCGACAGCATAGAGTTAATAGATACCTAAATTTGAATGTCTTATTCATGTATTTGTGCAATTTATTCTAAAATTAATACAACTAAAAATTTATTCCCAATTTTAGGTCTGTGTAAACAATATGGGCATTCTTGCTTAGGAGGTAAGAACAGCAATTTATTTCTATATTTTAGTCAATAAAAATGTTCCTTGGCACATATTTATAAAATTTCAAATAACCAATTGAAATATTACGAATCTAAAATATTGCTTATCATGTTTGCAGTTTTAAGGTATACACTTTGTGTTCTCAGTGTGTAAAACGTTTTTAAAAATGTAGTGAATTTTTAAATTGTGATACTTGTAGTAAACCTTTTTTAAAAAAAATCTATTTATTATATGGAAATAAATCACAGGCTTGAACGATATTATCAAATATATGTTTAAATGTGCAGTGAATAATGCTTTATTCCTTAATGCCAGGAAAGTTTTCGAAAATAATCTGGATTAATAATAATTATGAATAGTGTCATACCAAACATTCTTTTTAACTTTAAGAACACCTTCGTTTAATGTAAGGACCGTAGCATAAAATGAATGCCTTATTCGAAAACTGCAATTTGTATTACCTGCAGTAAAATAAGAAATTCTTCTCCTTCTAATTGCAAATTATTCATAATATTTTTCAAACACTAAAGCATTCTTTTTGCACTTTCATCTGGATTCTCAAAAAAGTCTATTTTATAATTGGATTTATGAAATTCCATATTAAAATACTGAATAGTCACTGATAATATTTTAATCTCTTTTTTATTTGAAGCATCGGTTTGAAAATAAAAACATAGAAGAAGATCATGATTTTTCAGTTCGTTCGAAACTACTCCTAACGCCTTTTTACCAAGCACGTTTCTTATAACTACTTCAGATTTTGTTCTGTTGCAAATATTTTTACAGTAACCTTGGAATCTTAGTAAATGTTTTAATTTAAATCAAATGAGTTACAGGAGCGATTAAATTAAACTTCATCGTATATTTGAAATATCTGAGCAAGTAGTCTATCTTCTTCATTGGAATTTACTTTTAGGATAGATTTATGAATTAAAGAATTGGATGGTAACGAACTGCTTTTATTTTTATGAAAATCTGATGGTTTATGTTGCTTTACTGCTAAAACACCCATATATCCAATTTAAAAAAAAACTCTGGTAAATAGTATATTTTGATAATTGTGGATTAATACTAGCCGCTAACCATTCATAATCTTTTCCCTAATTTTTGCTACACAACGGTTGGTCTTTTTTTTTTTTTTTTGCTTCTAGGCTCCATAAATTATTTATAGGGATAACAGTACAGAGTAAAACGATATATGATGATTGGAAAAAATATTTATAAAAGTTTAACAAAGATGTACCAAAATAAAAAAGTAAATATTATACACAGCCAGTTCTGAGATGCGGTTTGCATTTTACTGAGTTCATCTTACTACGGAAATTTTTCCAGTTTATCATTTTTCGAAAATTTCGAGATGGTGGATACGATCAGTGGAAAATAAAGTTAACTGGAAAAAAATCAGAGTTAAGTTCTTCTATCACTTCCAACTGAAGTGTATGTTGAACTTCTTTAAGTGAAGAAGATCGTTAGAAATACTTCAATAGAAGCATTGTTGTGTATCCTGGTAGGTGTGCTAGGTCCTATTATCTTTGTACCGTTTGGGTCAGCAAATCTGCGGTTGATACACCAACAGCATTGGTATTTCTGGACGGTCAGTTTGAACTCTTTGGTGCTTCGGTATTAGTGAGATTGTGAAGGTTTTTGATTTCAGAGATAAATAAAAATGCTTCCTCGGTGATACTTCTAATAAGAGATGCAGTGGTTTCAATGTTTGAGGGAGTCTGTAATATGAAACGACTGTATTTAAGATGATTTTAAATGAGAATATCGGTTCCGATACCTCGGTTATATTTTCTATCCGTGCGTGAATATATGTAGATCGTATCACATGTTCTAAGATGAGTTTCACTTAGCATTAATATATCAATGCCGTGTTTTTGACATAGTTCGTTCGTGTTAAAGAACAAAATTTTAATGTAGCAGTTCCCTGCCCCAATGTTGTGTATTTGATTCGAATTATTTGCACAGTCCATATTCCAAGTTAATAGATTTTTTTTTTTCTGATGCTGAGTTCAATGCTGAGTTGCAATATCCCTGTGTGTGTTTCATTAATATTGTTATTTATTCTTTGGTCTTCTTTAACCTTGTTATTTTCATAAATAGGGACGTTCTCCTCATTTGGGAATTTTTTCTCGCTTTGTATTTCTTTGAAATTTTTCCACCAGGGACCCATTTTTGTGGTCTTGGTGGGAGAAATTTTCAGAAAATCGCTATCATTATTCTTGAGAGTGGTTGTGGGTTTGAAGGAAGTTTTTATTTGTTTATTATTTTAGGACTCCCTGGATATCTTTTATATGCTGAGATATGATCTACACCACACAGGATGCATTTTGGCGAATCTTATTCTATAATATGCTTACACTGCCAAGTTGAATGACAGTGAGCGCACATTATACGCCTATACTTATTGAAGCACATTCGTTGGCTGTGTTCGTGATGCTGTCAGCTCTGACTTAGCAGGGGGTCAAGTTTTGAGCGGTAGGCCACTATAAAACTCTTATTGATAGAAAGTATATTCGTTTGCAGATATTTTTGCCTTCTTCTCTCCTGAATGTTTTCATCAGGAATATCGGTACGGGGTCAATTTAGTTAACTGTTTTACTTTGTAAAAGGAAATGCTTAATTTTTAGCTAGTTTTTGATGTCAGAATTCAACCATGTTATGTTTTTTTTATCAAAGTGGCAGGAATGAAGCATGAATAAAATTGTACAATAAACAAAAGTATAAAAGACCCTATTTTTTGTTTACATGGATGACTAGAGTCAGTGGGAAGGTAGGGAAATAACCAAAGTTTTACAAAAAGTATTCATACGAAATTCTTTATAAAATCTTGTAACCATACGTCTAAAGAGAGGAAAACTTGGTTGACTTTCAAAAATAAATTGTAGGTTTTTATCTAAGGTGCTCATTTCGATAAAATGTTAGAAAGTGCACAATCTAGTTCCCTATGGAAACATTTTGATTTGTTACCTTTTTTAAAAATTTGAATTTAATGGAAATAGAAATAATTTATTTATTCATATTGTGTAGCAAAATATTGATTTATAGCAATAGCAGAAGTATTGATTTTATTCTTCTGCATGTATCATTATTTCCTCTTTTAAATTCGTCAGTATTCCAAAAATGTATTTTCAGGCCATGGAAAACGAGCGGAAGTGCAACCATCTCGCCTGATGAAGCACATTTTTCGAGAAATGTCCCACCTTCCCATGAAAGAGGCTGACATGCTTCCTCAAGATTTTGCTGAATCTGCGGATTTCTGGGAAAATATTTTCAATAACAAAGCAGATGCGTTTGAAAATGATGAACAGAAAGAACTGAGAGCAAACCTATTTGACTAAATTACAAAATAAAAAGCAAATTATGTTGTTGATATATAAATTCTTGATTTTAATTAATACCAATAAAGATGTGTCTTTAGAAAAAATATAACAAACTGCGCGTTTATTCTGCATTTATTAGTAACGTGATCGATTACTTAAAAATAATAAACTTATGTTAGTTTATGAAATAAGGATACATTTTCCTACATGCGCATATATTTTTCGTTTTAATTTGTTTTCCTTGAAGCAACAGTGAACGCTATCAATTTTGGTATAAAATATAAAGGGTATTTCTTTCTTTTTCTTTTTAAAGAAATGGAACGTTTTCTTAATAGATTAAAATTTGTGATAAAACACGCTCATTCATTAGCTTTCAGTAATTTACGCTATGTGTTTTAGCTTAATATTTAACAATATATTTAAATTAACAGAATTATTTATAAAAATAACGAAATCGTCAGTTAAATGGCGAGGCAAAACAAAATCATTTAAAAAAATATAGCTGCTTATCTCAACATTCCTGAATTGTACATCACCTGATGAAGTATATTTACAAACCCATTGTCATACTACTTGATAATTGCCACGAAACAACTAATTTATGTTAAGTAATATTCCTGAACACAGCGCTGTAGCAGAAAGATTAGTATAAAGAGTGTTTTAGAACAGTAAAGTATAGGTTTTTTTTAAAAAAAAAAACCGACACTATTCAGAGCCATCTGGAACTCGATGTATCAGTTGAAACGCCACCACATTTGGTAGGAGGACTAGCGAAAACATATGAAAATTCCGTGAAAAACAAATTAATTCCAAAACATTTCGACAGGGGAAAAGGCGGAGGTGTTTTAATCTACACAAATTGAAAATTGCATGAAACGCATGTAATTAAGCATTTGCATATTATGAAAAATTTCAGTTACGTAAACGATAGCAGCGTCAGTGATTCACTCTCTTACCGTGGGATTCAATTTGGTGGGGTTCCGACTTTGACGATCTTAAATGACAGCACATCACGGGCCATGTGAGCATTATTAGTGATATATTAAGTTCAGCCGTCAAGAATATTGTCTACAGGATGCAAAGTGGAACCCACAAGAAAGGTGGTGACATTGTAAGAGGTTTAAGCCGTCGCCGAGGAAGCGCTTTTATTGATTAAAGTGCTGTAATGCACTGAAATGTCATCTCCGCAACGCTTTGGGAGAATGTTTTTGCTGCATTGAAGCGGTGTTGCACTGAAATTTATTCTTTGTTATTGGTTTGTCTAATTCTCAGGTATGTAGTCTAGAACAGCGTCACATTTTGCCCTATCGGCAACTTTCAGAACTAGTTCATTTTTTTCCATGTCTTCATTAGTCCCCCTACCAAATTTGCTGACATTCTAGCTGATAAGTGGAGCTATAATTGGCTCTGAGTAGGGTCAGTTTAAAAACAAACACCTATACGTTGAGTGAAAATGCTAAGGAGATATCATTTGACAGCTTATGAATGTAGACTACCAATTGGATGGATGGAAGCTGGTAAAGCGCCATTTAAACTGCGAACAGTAATAAGTATATCAGAAAGTGTTATCTCGGGATTCAATAGTGTCACTGAAGGTGAGCCCCTTTGCTTAATCATTCTTATGGTTGTTAAAAGAATACGACACTTCAATAAGGCAAACGCGTATCCCTAGTTATGAAAAGGAATAGAATTCTTAGTCATGGCCAAATAAGCCACAAATATTGCAAACGGTACTGACACACGCGTATATGTCAAAATTCTTTCTCAGTCATTACATTATATTACCTTGTGGGCCCAGCAGTCCGTTACTAACATTTGGATCATAATATGTTACGGTCAAGAAAGAATCCGTTGGTGAAATGAACATATTTGTTGGGACCAGTGACTGTGATCTAGAATGATGTGCTCAGCAGAATATCGACTCTCTATTAAGTGTGGTTTTTATTACCAATTAATGTGAAGAAAGAAGATATTCTGGATCCACAAAAGAGTATTCCATTTTTCTTTTTCGAAGCAATACCGTCGCCTTTTACACTTACTTTTGTCAGAAAGCTATAAAAATCAGAGCAACCAGTTACGTTATCTTTTATTTGAGGGACTAAATCTGTAGAGAACTACTAACAGTGCAAAAAAAGAAAAGTACTATGAAGGTCGCGTTTTAACATCAAGAGACAGTATTCTGAAAGACGCATCCTAAGAAAAATAAGCATTTGGAGGGTCATAATTTACCACCTTTGACCATTCATAGAAATGTTTCGAAATTTCGCGAATTCGCCCGAACTTCATTATTAATATTATTGTTCAGTTTTCTAGTGGTACTTATGACCAAAAAAAAAAAAAAAACGATATTTAACTGAAAGTGAGATTCAGAAAATAATGAATGAGAGAGACAGTAAAATTAGCGATGTATATTCTTTGCTAGACCATTCTGAAGCGTCTGATATTTCAGCAACAGTTGAATATGACTACGCTGACTGAAAAATTCAAAGATACTGGTGACTGGAAGTTATTTATCTCTAAACAACCAAAGCCTGATGTTTTTAGCAAAACCAGGCTTGAATATTGAAAATGCTGTGAGTTTGGTAAACGAATTCGCTTGTCCGGTTTATCTTTTTTATGATGAATTAATCCAAAGCCTTTTACAGAAACCACAACGAGTGAGATGAGAATATGTTTGGTGTTAGTAATGCTTATAAACATCGTGCCGAGAATAAAAATGTATTTCACTAAGAACAAATTATTCACTGAACCCTTTTTCGATAATGCCATGTCATGAAATCTCTTTGCACAAGTTTGCGATATTTGCATTTTACATCAAATCCAAACGCAAAATATTGACAAAATAAAAACAGTTCCAACTGATAGAAGCCTTTTAGCATGGAGAGGAAGACTTAATTTTAGGCAATATATTCCATTGAAACGATCAGGATATGTCATTAAAATTTATAGACTGTGTGAATTGGACACAAGGGTAAATTTGAAATTGTTGTGTTTATATAAGATGCTTTATTCACAACAACTAGTGACTTATATAGAGAACGTGTGGTTAAAATAATTATTTTAGCCAACAACGGATATAACTTATATAATTAGATCGATTCTTTGTTTCCCCAAATCGGGCTATCTTTCCGACTTATTTTTATCCTCACTTTATTGAATGACTTTGGTCATTATTGGACTTTTCTCTTTCGGGTGCGGTGTTAAAAATTTAGCGCCTTTGTTTTCTCTAATTTTGTTAATGCTAATTTTTATTTACTGGTTTATACTCTTTGTAGTAGGCACCAGTAACAAGATTACGATCCAAGATTCCGAAAAACGTTACAACAGAAATAGCGCATAATGGAATAAAATATAATTTTAGTTATACTTACTCATAATTTAAATAAAAAGAATAGGTATCCGACGCCCTTCAATGTTTATTGAATGTTTCATTTGGTTTATTCTTTTAATATTCCTTTATTTGTATAAATTAATGCGCTATGGAAATTTACACAATAGACTCTTTAACAGTTTAAGTTCATTCTTTAACCAAATACAAATGAACTAGTTATATGATCAGTAGGTTATTTAAAATATATTCCACACAATTCCCCTTAGCTTTCTTTCACAAAATAAAAAATTACCAAATGAAATAAACGCTGTTTCTCTTCCCTTTACTGAAAGCCCACAAGGTATGTTTGGCGTTAATTATCAAGCCTACAAGGCGATAACTCACCATTCCAAATATGACCGCCAAGCAGATGTTTCATCCAATGAGAGCAGGGCGCAGGTAAAAAAGGCCTGTAGGCTTTGTGAATATGACCGCCGCCCGTGAAAGGCGGCAAGAAATCATTTGTTTAATCGTGTTCCATAAAACCATGAGATAAAGTCTCAACTAAGAATTTGTTATATTTATAACTTAGTATTTATAACAACAATAGCCTGTCTCTAAAGAAAAATCACATCCGACATTAAAATATGAAAATTGAATAAAATAGAATCCCAGTCATCTGTTTAAGTGTGGCCACAGTCCGCTTAAATAACTGGAAGATTCTGTTAACTGTCTTGTCATTTTTCTATAGCTCAAATTCATATCTGTTGTAATTAAAGAGAAAGAATTTTATTTTCTCATTTCTTCAGTTTTATTCTAAGGAAGATTATGCAGTTAAAATATATCATTTTACAATGAACAACAGAAAATAGTTAAAGGAATTTTATACAAAAAGCAATGCGGCGTTTACCAAAAGGTTAATGGAGCACATACGGAAAAGTATTAAAGAAGAGAAGTATATATAACTAGTTTTTACTAAGGATATGCATTGTTGACATATTATTAATAAGTGAGGCCAACTTTAAATAAATAACATTTCATTCTTTCAAATAAACAAATCGCGCTCATTCATCGAAATTAAACAAATTATTTCTTGGCAATATTACATTACATTATTTTATATTTTTGCTTTACATAATCTATGAAAAAATTAAAAGTAATCATGATAACTGACGCCCACAGACCTATGTTATGTTACAGAAAATATAAATGCTATATAATGTTTGGATGCTTAAAAAAATTACATGTTAAGCTGTCTTTCATTAAAAAAAAACACTAAGCAATGGAATTAAGAAATATCTATATTTGAAAAGTAATAAAAATTATTAAAGAAATATGTTCTGGTGACTACTACAATCTACCAAGTTACACTGAGAACACCTTTATAAACCTATATGAAAATATATTATTATGAAAAACGGAAGAAACAGGTAATGTACTGAAATACAGCAGGAATTCGAGATTATAATAAATTATTACTTTACTTTAAATTAACAGTGATTTCACTGCCTGCTTTGGCTACTGCCTAGTTAAGTTAAATTTGCTCCCTTGGAATTTACAGGAATGCCAGCTTTCAATCTATCGCTGGCACAGTAGTTAAGGAAATACTTGACCACAGAAATGAAAATGAGATTGTGTGCAGTTGGTAGAAATCTCTAGTATTACATTTGAATTGCTCAATAAAGTCATCTGGCAGGCATTACCAATTTATTATCATTAGGGACTATGTGAAAACGAAACGGCAGATTTTGATACGAACATAGTCGGTAAATAATTACTTCAGGTTAGAGTCGGCTAGGAGAAAGAATTTCGCTCCGCAGTAGAGGTTTACCGCAGCCTTACTTCTCTCAGTCACATGACGGGTTGGATAAATTTATTTTCCACAGAAACGATAATACTGCAAACAATGCTGAGAAGGTACGTGTATGAATATGCAGATATTTGTTTCAAATTAAAATTTTGTTTAAAATGGTTGCTGCCACACTGTGATACGAACATCCTCACGAATTCACATGCAACTTTGAAGCATAAGTTAGTGTACAGGAAGTGACACCGCCAGAGAAGGCATCTGCCCGAGGTGTGAGAAATATGAAAATTTGGGTCAAGTCAAAAGTCAAAGATTTGCTTAGTTCTGACTATGCTGTGGATGTAAATATACATTATATATATATATATATATATATATATATATACATACATACATTCAATATTCAAATATTTATAAAACTAGCCGCTAAAAGATTAATAATAAAAAAGAAAAATATATATGTCAAATAAAGCTTACAGTTTAATAATGTTTCGTTTATATTTCTAGAATACAAATCATTAAATGTGTGCAAAATTTTCAGTGCACCCACTGGCTTGCATTTTGTACAGACATTTGTAAACATTGGAGAAACCAGTCATGAACTGTTAAAATTCAAAAATTTATCTGCTTTCACCTGTCACTTGATTTGATATAAAGAGATCGTTTTCTCTCAAAGCTTGAAAAATGCTTAATTCCTTATTAAGCAAGTGATTCATTACTATCGAAACTATCTAGCGATTTCAATAATCGATAAAAAATGAGTTGATTACTTGAATTATTTCGTTTGACTGAATAACAGGATGTATTCCAGTTACCAAAGTGAGTGAATTTAAAAACATAGCCAAACTATTATAACTTAACCAATACAGTAGGACTAGAAGTATATACATAAGATATATTGGAAAAATTGCATGTTTCTGGCGACAACTTTGTCAAAGACGAACTTTAACGACTAACAAAACAAGTATGGAATATTTTTTAGAAGATTCACGTAACATTTCTTCGGTAAATATTCTACCGTGGTAATGAAAATTATGAAGAAAGTTTCAATAATAACGTAGAAATGTTTAGAAATTAAGAAGTGAAACAAGGCGTTACTGATGAATGGTGGTGATACCGATAATTGCCCCATGAACTAACCCACAAATTATGAGAGATGATTTCATCAATCAGAAGAACCGATATCTTTGATAAATTACAGTACAATTTTACGAAAATGTTACATAAAATTATTATAAAACAGAGAAACTGCAAGTTTCTCTCAAGACCATTAACTGCAACAAATTCGGAAATCGCTGCTCGTGTGAATGAATGCATTCTTGCAAACAGACGCATAACGATAGACGAAATAACTGGATATTTCTCATGGAGGTGTGCATAAAATTATTTCCGATCACCTTAAATTTCGTAAGGTTTGTGCTCGATGGGTGCCACGTCTATTGACGGAGGAACATAAAGGAAAGCGTTTTGAAAGTGAATTTGCATTTCTGCAAAGTTACCAAACGGAAGGAAATGAGTTTTGGGACAAAACTGTGACTGGAGATGAAACTTGGATTCACCACTTCTCACCTGAAACGAAACGCAGTTCTCTCAAGTGGAAACATTGCAGTTCCCCGACACGAGCAAAGTGTCGAACTATTCCACCTGCAGGAAAGGTGATGATGACGCTGTGTTTCGACAGAGAAGGCGTGACCCATACAGAGTTCATACCGAAGAGTGCCACAATTAATGACACAATAATCTTATTGTGAAACAAGAAGCAATTGCGACAATCACTTAAAAATCGATGGCCAGGTAAACTGTCGAACGGCATTGTGCTCCTGCATGACAATTCAAGACCGCATGCAGCAAAACAAACGTGTAACCTTCTGAAAAAGTTTAGGTGGGAAGTGTGGAATCACCCTCTTTATAGCCCAGACCTTTCACCTGATTTCCATGTGTTTGGTTCTATGAAACAAGAACTTTCAAAGCAACGGTACCATTCGGATGCCGAAGTGAAAGCTACAGCCCAACAATGGTTATCGAACATTCGACGGGATTTCTTTGCAGAAGCCATCGAAAAACTTGTACCACGCCTCGACAAATGCTTAAATAACGGAGGTAATTACGTTGAAAAGTAGATTTTGAATGGAACTTTAAAATATAAATAAATTTATTGTAAAATTTTGCTCCTGTTTTGTTTTCTTAGGCAGTGCAACTAACTTTTTGACTGACCCTCGTAGTTTGGAAGTTTATTTTATATAAAATCTATTATACTTTGTGCAAAATACTGTCCAGTAATAACTTCAGCACCGAAATTAATGCGCACAAAAATAAGCTGCTAATAAATTTTAAGAAAATAAGTATAATAATAAATGTTCCGAAATGAGTTCTCCTCAATTAGTTAGAAAAACCGTAACTGTGTTATAGTAACAAAAATGTAAACAAACTAAGAATTACATTTCGTGGTTTTCTGACTATGTGTTTAGATAATCGTGCATATGCGCTTTGAAACTGACGTATAATCTAATTACAATATAAATCGCAATTTCAGTCATTCTAGATTTAAAATTTACTCCAATATATTTCAGAAGTTTCAGTACTTTCAGCCTTTGCAGAAAGATGCATTTTTTTATGTGAAAATATAGCTGATGTAACGTAAAACATCTCTTACTCCTAGCTATGTTTAATTTATGCCATGCATCCTGTATTATTGAAGTGAATGGAAATCAAGAAAAATTAATAAAGTAGACTCAATCTATATTTTGTTGACGCATGGGCGCACCGGCATCGTTCAAATGACACTGAGTAATTTAAAATAGAAGAATACACTAAAAAACCATCTTTATACAGTCCACTTTCTTCAAAGAGCAAACATTTATGTTATCTTTAAATGATAAATATTTAGTCTATTGTCAACAGCATATTCTTATCGGTATCTTAAATTCAAAGTTTCCCATCACGGTTACTTTCTACTGAAATTTTAGTCAATTAAATTTCTAAAATATGTTCCTCTAAACAGAAGTTGATAAATTGAAGTGGATTAAAGCGTTAATGGTTTTGAAACCAAACTGAATAAATATGCATTTGTTCTATATTGTTGAAACTTGAAAATTTCCTAAGTTTGGGACCTTATCGTGGTGTGAGGATTCGTCTTTCTAAGGGACAGAGCTAACACCAAATTCAATTTCAGTCCGGAGAAACCGTAATGTCTCGGTTGAATCAGATTTACTATGAACCAAGAAATTCAAACAGAGACTGTAATTCAGAGCGATTTTCAGAAGATGTTCATTCTTTGATCAATGACTTACAGACTTCCATAGAAGAGAAACCAGAGTCACTGTATCCTTGAGAGAGAGATTTTTAATGCACAAGAAGAGTAATACTTACATTATATCTCAAGCGCTAGAGATTCCTACAATGAAAGGAAAATTTTAGGAATGTATTGTTAGGAAACCATAATAAATATCAAAACAGTCCTTTGTAGATGGTTTAAAATTCAAAGATTAAGAAGAAAATATCACAAAGACGAGATAAATGTTTCTTTTAAAAAAGAGATTGAAATTTTGTTATACCTCAATAAAAGCGGAACTTCTTCAGAAGAAATTTAAAATAAAATTATTGAAAGATTAGATCCTGCGAAATAAAAATTAGGTATTAGAAATGCTTGAAAGATCCAATTAGAAGTACTGTAGTTGAATGTTTGAAAAAAGATAATGTTATAGTTTTAGAAGACGAAATTAAAATTAATCCTTTACTTAAGATTCTGAGATGAGGTATTAGATGCTACAAAGAAACAGAATCAAATTTTTGAAGGTGGTGGAATATAATTCTTATTTTCAATCATGACTAAGCACAATAAATTGCATAGGATTGCAATGGTACAACCTGAAAAATTTAAGGCAATTATGAAATTGAGCAAAGTAAAATTGAAATGTTCTGTATTTCGGTTAAAGATTACCTGAATGTTGTCAGGTGGTTCAAATGTCAGGAATTCGGACATTTTCATAAAAATCTGTTAAGGAAATGATTTACGCCGGATATTTGCAGGAGGACCACAACGACTAGGACTGTATAAATGATCCAGAATGTATAAACTTTAAAAATGAGAACTATAAATTGGCTTTAAACGCAAAACATTCTACTTTGGATAAAATTTGTGTATGTTTAAAAAGAAAATATGAAGAACGGACTATAGCAGTTAGTTCTTTTCAATTATAATACAGTTTTTTGAGCATACGAAAGAATTGGAGGGGCTGGCTCCTAACTGGGGACATGAAATAAAGTAATAAATTGGCAATCTGGGGGTACCAACAACTGATGATGAGTATCCGTTTTTGTTTGAAAAATTAAGAAATAAATGGATCAAGTTCTTTCCGGCTTTAAAAAAAATAAGAGACATAAATAAACGTTTCAGAAAGAAGTGACAAAGTTGTGCTTATTTTATATTGTAAAAGAAATACCAAAAGATGGAAACATTATTTCTGTTACATAATTAAGATCAATCTATAGTCATAAGTCAAGCAGTCAATTATTAAATTCAAATGACTAAACTAACCTAATGACATGCTTAAAATGAAACTGGTATATTTATCCTTTTAGTTCTGTTATTAAGAGGATTTTATATTTGTGTTGTATTACTATTAGCTGAACTGAGTTGATATAAGAACCATCTGCTTTGCTATTATAAGTACTATCAATTCATGTAATAAAAATTGTATTATTGTGTATTAAGTATTATGTACTAATTATTATTTTATGTTTTGAATGTTGAGTTGTACAATTTAGTTTATAAAGACATTGTTCGTGACCCCAATGGATTTTTCTAGTCTCATAATAATAAGTGCGGTGGCTTGCGGTTTAACAATGTTTTCTTAATTAGTTTCAATAATCTTCTGCACATATAAGATTGGTCAGGCAAGCTTTATTACCGGTCTTGAAAAAGATACTGATTTTTATTTTTATTTTTACGAAGAATGATTTGGAAATAAAAAAGCAAAACAGGAGATAAACAGATATTTATTCGAATGGCAAACAGACATGGGATAATGTGCGATGAACAGCTAATTTTGACAAGTGAATGCTTTACAATGATCACAATTCGGTTTTTTTCTTCATCCGTGCTTTAATTTTTGATAGTCCGGATATTTCTTCTTTAAACCTTCACATTCATACGATGTCCTGAAAAATGTCTTGTATACCATTTCATAATGGACCCTAAAATATACAAGAAATTTACAAAATATAAATTTTTATGATCTTTATCGTGTATAAGAAACAAGAATTATGTAATATTTGTTGCACATGTTAATTTGTGAATTTTCATGTTAGCTCAGATAAGGTTCAGCGCAATGAGGAATTGTTTTCAAGCTCTACAATACTACGAATAGCTACTTATTGTTCTCGTTAGCAAGAGCCACTGACACTAGATGGCGCACGCTCTGTGCTTCGCAGATTGTTTCATCAAGTGATACCTTCAATTCAGTTCGTCAACAAATTCCATGTCAATATGCGAATTATAGTACCATTTCATAAACAAGTTTTTCATTCATACATTAAAACAAATGCTTGGATATTTGTTGAAAAGTAGTGACATTCGTATTGAGGAACGGCGAATTTATAGCATTGGCCCGCGAACCGACCGAATCACACACTCGATCTCTTTTTCTACTGCCCAAGACAAGATCTATTAAATTTATTATGACATTTTATTATAAGATGTATTTACATACTACATCATTAAATGTTTTGCAACTGTATGTTGTGGGGCTATAAGTGGAATGAAACTAACTGAGCATCGCTTTGATATACTCCGATTTGCGGCAGAAATACAAATGTCTCACAAGTAAACTATAATTTTTTCTATTAGATGACATTTAACAACTTTTTTGGCACTTTTTTTTTGGTATTGTAAGAAATAATAATTTTTGAAGCAAGCAGCCAAATTTCTTCTTTTTTCTTGAGCATCCTGCTATTATTTTCATGCGAAATTTTTGAAACATAAATAGCTATTATGTTTACATTTACTGAGAACAATATTTTGTTTAATCACAGCGAGCTGTCTGCATAAGGGTAGGGATACTTTGGTGAAGGACGTTCTAAGCGAGACCGAGATCTAAATTATGCATCTAAAAGCATGAAAAAACATATATTAGCCAGTCTAATCACTTGGGATAAATAATAAGGATACAATGTTCACACATCAGATACTTTATTAGCAATCCTGTTCACGTTGAAAACTACCAAAATATTAGTAATAAGCAAAATGGTTTACATTATTGATAATTATTATATCAATAGTTTTACATCGTGTAGTTGGCAATGAATTAACAATTTTTAATGCAGCCATTTAAATTGCATTCCTTCGCTGCTATTAGAATATGAAGTTTCATGCTTGCATTATTAAAATTTTGTAATACCCTGATGAAAACTGCAGTATATTTTATTTTTTAAATCAAACCGAGTTCAATTATGGAATTAAAATTTGCTCACATTTTAATTTGAAGTCTCTGATTCAATCTTCAGATTATTCTGATTGCAAATCTGGTTTTAATATTGTATACCTTAGTTTCAATATGAACAAAATTATAGTTTAAAAACTAACAAAATTTAATCTTTACGCGATTGCTTTTAAAAATAAGGCTGGCCTCGTTTAGAAAGAGAAACAACACTTCCACCCTCTCTCAATACCACGTTTTTCGTACATTTTCTTCAAGTGCATAGGATTGTTCAAAATTATTGACCCTTTTAAATGCACATGATGCACTGATTAGTTCAAGAAATCTGAAATCTGGCTCAGACTAGAAGGAATACACAATAATGAAAAACTTAATTAGCAAAATAGCAACCTTAATTTGAAGTAAATTTAAAATAAATTGCTATTCAATTTGAGGGACGTAAGACATAGGTCTGTCTTCTTCAGAAACGATAAAAATCCTACTTGAGAAAGTGACCTCTAAGTTGAACTTCTGAAAAATCCCTACAATTGTATAACTGATCGAAGTATGAAACTGAATGACAACTAAGGCGTTGATATATAGACTGTTTTGCTTCTCAAGTTGGCAGACTGTTTTAATTCTGAAGAAGAGGGATCTGCGTCTGGTTGGCCTCGATAGAGGCAAAATCAATAGAATTTTACTCAGAGATTTCTCCGCCAAGTTGCTGTTTTGCTTAATTTTTATATAAAACTATGATTGTTTGTGCAAACAGAAGCTTCCTTGTCACCTTTTGCACTTGAAGAACAATTAGAGACTGTTTACTATGCTTTCCCAAAATCATTCAAGATATTCGACAACGAAGGCGGATTCCGAACTTCAGATTTCACACCTTATGAATGATGGAAATTTGAATTTTTGAAGCACCTCACTGACGAAACAAAACAGACTTTCTTTGCAAACGTGACCATATTTTCTGTGGATTCCGTGGCGTAACACTGTGATCACTTACGTAACTGGCCAGGAAAAAAATTATATCGTAACGTATTCGTGCGTTTACAAATTTTTGGGGTAACATTTTCAATAAATTGCAGCAAAATCCCCGAATAATTAATTGGAGCATTTATAACTATGGCATGCCAATTTTTTCTTTGCAAAATATCACTTATATACGTAGACAGAAGTTTCTGTGCAAAATCATTTGCTTTGATCCTTTGATCCAGTGAACATTTGCTGCAAAGGATTCGTAAGCCTAGCAAAGAACATCATGGAAAACAACAACGCAGACATCTGAAATCTGGTTACGCATACGGAGATCAAGTATTAACACAATGCTACTGAGTAGTTTTTTTAAACGATTTAGTAACGTTCTGTAATGGACACGAAGATTTTAATGAAGAAAACAGCGGTCTTTTTTCACAGTCTTGAACGAATACGAACATCAATAAACTACGACAATTGTTAGTGAAATATTGTCACCTGTCTCTTCAGAAGATACCTAATGAGTTTTGCCTTAGTAGAGACGTCGCTCACAAAACTGTCTAAAAAAGGTTTGAATAAAGTATGTTTTCTCTGGTTTACCCCCTCAAGCATGGACTGCAGTACAGAAAAAAGATGGAGTTACTACATGTCACGACAAATGGACGATATTAGTCCTGATGGTTTTCAAACATATTATGACTGGAAATTAAACTCTGTATTTTTGTGTATTATCCTGACACAAACTGGGAATTATCTGCTTGGGTTGGTGAAGACTAACCTCGAATTTCCAGGTAGGTATCGTTCACCTTCGAGGTAGGTGTTCCCTAGGCTCGAAAACTTCGATTTCAGGAATCTCCAGTTTAACCATGTATGTAGTTTTTGATTGAAAAGTGGTAATTCACAAGGCATGACAAAGAACTCAACATTTTATAAAGATGTAATAAACAGACTTCTGAAGAGATTTCAGCACATTAATCCTGAAAAAGCTCAATCGAATGACTAGTTTTGCTGCATGACTCTGGACACACAATTCCCTTCTCGTCAAGAAGAAAGAAGATTTTAGCGAAAAAACAAAGGATTACAATTATCAGCGACACCATTTATTCTCCAAATTAGCATTCTAGTCTAAGTTATATTCTCTAAAATAAAGTTTGATTTCAATACCATTAAAATATGCTTCAATAACATTAAAATAATGTTATTATTTTAATTAATTAAAATTATTAATTATTATTAAACTCATATTTGCATGATTGAAGCAAATATTGAAAATAAAAACCGAAATATTTCAAGCCAATTTTTAAGGAAAGGAATTTGAAGAAAATAACCACAAAAAATTAATGCAAGAAAATTAAAAAATAATATGAAAATACAACAAAAACAACTTAAATTGGTTACAACTTAAATTGAAAAAACGAATAATAATTAAAATTAAAATTAAAAGGCAATATGCCTAAAATCGAAAAAAATGAATAAAACTGAAGTACTTAATTAAATTAAATAAATTTTAACAGGAACCACCACAGCAAGAAATCCACTTATCGTGTTACCCTCAAGAATGGCTGTTTAGAATTAAAAGTTGAGTTGAGTTGTAGGAGGAAAGTTTGATTAAATAAATATAATAAATTGCCAGAACTGAGTTGAAATATAAATACGAAAAATGAGAATGGATGGATGGATGGATTGTGGGCTTCATTGCACATAACTTTACAGGGTTATAGTGCTTCAAACATGTGGTAATGAGAATTTACCTTATTAAAATAAAATTACAAAACAAATACTATAATATGTAAATTCAATAATTTATTAGTGACAAAATTACTAAAGCATGCAAAATGGATGGAAATAAAAAATGGTAAAACATCAATACACATAAAACTGAATGAAACTAAAAAAACTATGTTGATTACATGTATAAAATTAACGGGATGAATATAAGCATAAAACCAGATAATATTTCAGCATTTCTCAATAAAACATGAACACATATCTTAATTAAACGTATTTAAATTAATTGATTCAGGTTATAATTATATAATCTAGGATCATTTAAATAATTAAATAAATCTGAATGGAGCTTTCTCCCTATTAAATACTCAGTATGCAGGTCAGAAGACTTAACATATAATACTTTAGTCGAAGTCTGTCGAAACCCGGGTATTCAACTAAAAAGTGATACAGAGAGAGAACTATTTTACAAATGGACTAACACACCTTTTAGAAGGTAGCTTGAAAATGTCCGATCCTTAGACGGACTAACAAGATCACTTTCCATCAGTTTTAGTAGCCTCCCAAAAATTTACATTAGTTTTCACACCAATTAATTTATTCTAAAGCTGGACATTCCAGATTTGCTGTTATTTGTTTAGGATTCTCTGCGTAATGACCTTGTATCTCTAAGAGGAACGAGTTCACTGAATAACTCAACCGCAGACTTTGTAATGATGTCTGTCAGCTCATTTCTTTCTATCGAGAATCCAGCAATAAAGTTTCTGATATCCATGCTTCCACAAATTTAAATTTAGGTTAACAACTTCAACAACTAGAGGACTTTTAGCGTCTGAAAATCTTTCTAAAGCCTTCAGCGCACTATAAGAGTCACTATAAAGTACAAACGTTTTTTGCAGTACATACGTATGAAAGGGCGTAATACATAGTAGTGAATTTTGAAGAAACAACTGAGTAAAGCTGTTGGAAACACCTGGCCTTTCATATGGTTTTCTATCACAAAGACACTCCAATATGACCTATAGCTTTTGAGCTTTTTGTATACAGAGTGTCATCAAAACATTGACCTCGGCTTTTATTCCTTAAATATGATGGTAGACATATAATATAAATTAAAAAGTTACGTAAAAAAGGTACATAATTTTATGAAATCAATTAAAATTTTTAAGGAATTAAATTTAAAGAAATGCAAAATTTACTTTTTTACATTACCCCCGTACAGAAAAATTCTCAATTAGAAAAATGTGGCCCATACGCTAACAAGGTCATGTACAAAATTCAACATTTTATTACAAAGAGCCGCAGAGATATGAAATTACATAAATGCTGATTTTAACCACTTTTCTATGCCTGTATATGAGTTTTGGGAGTTAATTTTGTAAATCGGTAAATAAAAGTTAAAGATAAGAACCATATTTTATATGCTTATGATGGATTTCTGCATCGCGTCATCTGCAATCCAGCTGTAAGTATTTACATTTTAATTTATGATCAAAACCTCACCAACTTCGTTGAAACATATCACTGCTAATTTTTGTAATAAAATGCTGAAATTTTGTACATGACCTTGCCTGCGTATAAGGCACATTTCGGTAACTGAGACTTCTGTACGGGGACCATGTAAAATGTAAATTTTGTATTTTTTTATTTAATGCCTTGAAAATTTTAATTGATTTCATAAAATTCTGCACCTTTTTTACGTACATTTGCAATTAATATTATATGTCTACGATCATATTTAAGGAATAAATGCCGGGGTCAATGTTTTGGGGTGACACTGTACATGGAAATGTAACTGCCGTTTAAGCTTGTGTTAAAAAAAAGCTGTTTACAGATTTTATAAATTATTTTTACTATATTTATAATATATAAATTATATCTATTATTTTTATTATATAGTTCTTTTTTGTTTACCGAATTGATAGAAAACATAAAGAAGCTCGATTTTCACACTCTCCCAACGTGGGATTTCAAACTGCTTAGCTGCCTGGGTATTCACACGAAATAAGAAAACTCTTCAGTGAATAACCGGATTAAGAAAGAAAAGAAAGTACGCAGAATCACCGTACTTCAAACAAGCGGTAATATATGTCATTAAGCAGAGTAATTTTATTAGGATGTTTTGTTTGTAAGAACAGATTGAAATATTGACGAAAGGATAACTGCCTTTAACTGGACTGATGTGTAACTAGGCTGACGTGTGTTTAAATGGACTGGGAGACTTTAAATGGAATGAATGTTCAAGGCCGTTAACATACAGACTCTCGACTGAGGATGTTCTAAATGCTCCAGAGCGTATGGTCCATCGGATCAAGCTTAGGCAAAATAGATGATCGTGCCGAGCCATAAACCACTGAGTTGTAGTCCACTTTAGAGCGAATTAGTGACCTATATACACGAAGCATAGCGTAAAGATTTTCTCCCCAGGGAAAGCGTTCGCCAAAACGTTACGAATATTTAATGTCTCAAAGCATTTCTTTCCCTGCACACGCTGAAGGAAGATGAGGTTTTGGTCAAACGTAGCCCAGGCTAAGGATGGAGGTTACGTTTTCTACAAAACTCTACGAAAACTGTCTTCTGACTCGAAAAATTGAAATCATGTTGAGCTGACCAATTGACGAACCTATTAATTGCAATCTACAACTACCTATCCGCATATCTTATACCCTCATCATGGCAATTTAACTCTAAGTCATCTACATATAATATACCTGAGATAGGACATGGATAGAGACCTGAATGGAGACTTTTTAAAACAGGATTTAATTTTAGGTTGAATATAATTTCAATTAGGACACTTTCTTTAGGCACGACTTCTTCTTGACAGAAAACATCAGACAACACAGAACCAAGCTTTCCTTGAAACGTCCTAGTTTTCAAAAATTCTTGTATGAACACAGTCAGGCTGCCACGCAAATCGCTATATATTTATACAGGATCATTGCACTAGATATTTATACATGCGGTATAACACAATGATATTACTTTATCATCATTAAGCCAGAAATACCAATAATCCCGTTAATCAGAGAATAGTGATGGTGAACGAGTTTGGTTTATAGGAACAAAACTGATGCTGTAGATTTTTAATGCTGTAGCATCATAGCTGATTAGATTCAAAAAGTACTAAAAATTCAAATTTACAGTCATTCGAGAACTTCAAACTTCAAATTGAAATTTAATAAATAAATTAATTACATTTTTTGAAAATAATTAATAAAATTATTTAATGCAACATTTACGAATTGCAAGATGCAAAGTGAGCAAGGAAACTCGAGGAAAGGAATTTGAAAATATTGTTAACAAATTATAAAATGACACTTACTTTGTTTTGGTACATAGTTTCCAGTCCCATGCTCCACAGGGCACTTTGACTTGAGTTGTTACTTTTTGTTTATATCCTCTTTTGTATGGCTCTTTCACTTCAACGAATTTACATGGCTTCCTGACAAGAAAGCACATTCGTTTTAGTAAGTGTTACGAAATACAGTAACATGTTTTTTTGCTAAATGTCCCTTAATATATTTTATTAAATATGATGATTCATAATTTCCTTCTTCTAAAATTTGCTAAAGTTTACAGTATATAAACATAATGAATACATCAAAATCGGGCATATTAGACATAAAGAAACTCTTCAAATATGTGCTCTTTGTTTCGTAAATACAATTAAGTTTATTTGTATACTTACATATGACGGTAAATATATTCTAATACACCCATTGCTTACCTGTGGTCCAGCCTTAATAGCTCGTTCTTTGTTCGCATTGCTATTCATTAACACAGACGGAAAAGCGCTGTGTGCTCCGAAGACTCTGAAGGTGGTAAATGACCTTTGAAGGTCGAAATTGGGTTTCATATGTAGAGGTCATTATACCGCCATTAAAATAATAAACCTATGCGATCGTTTCCAATACTTTACGTCTACGAAACAGAACCATGTTTGAACCCCAGGCCATTTACAGCCTTCAGGGACACAGATAGACGTGAGCGGGATACCATTGGTCGTACAAGGTATAGTCCAACACCTCTAACTGTGCAGTTCCGCCCCAATTTTAAAGAAGAATGCCCAGAGGGCTGTCCGAGGGTTTGCTACCCCTCTTCCCTAACCTTTCGAGAGGACTTCTGGTACGCCGTGTACTTTGAGTAGCCATCGCCGCATAGGCTTTGATACCCTTACAAACATCCATACCGCCTCTGGGATCAAAGCCGGGCCTATCAGTGCAGCAATCAATGTCACTAACCACTATACCAACTGAACGGCCACCTTCAAAGATACTGTTTTACATAGCGCAGTTTTTCCCTTCTGCGCTAACAGATGGCAACAGGAGCAACATTAGAAAGGGAACTAATGTCGGGTCCGCCACACATCTTAGTGTGGACTCTTCAATGAATCTAAATCAATACTTTCATTTTCACAAGCCCTCAGAATATGATATTCGCTGTCCAGCAGCAAAACGCCAGGTTCTTGTTTTTGCTTATTACTTCTCTTTCGCTGTCAGATTACTTACTTTAACTTACTAATGCAGTAAAAGCGTGCGTTGCAAGACACTCCTAACGAAACATTGACGCAACTTGGTCATTGCACTGTTATGCAATTGAAGTTTTTCTTCTTGTTTTTTAAATGGTCGGACGCTTGAAATTTAATACATTAGTTGTGAATGGCCAACATTCATAGGTTATTTAACCATTTCATAACCGAGAGCGTTTTCCAAGGTCTACCGCATAAGGTAACCGATAAAATAGACTAGATTTTTCTCAAATAGGAAAATAATGTATTGTAGCAATTACAGCGTACATTATAATTTCAGGATGAATTTGTTCTCTTAATTTTGCTGTATAGCAAACAGAATAGTCGCACATTGATTGACCCACTAGAGGCTGAGTGGTTAAGTCATCGACGGTTGTGAGATTTATCAATTCTTTCTTCTCAAATACGCGCAATATTTATCAGTGGTAAATTTGTAATGCGAGCTATGTTCATTTGCATCCACTGCAGTTTGTAAATGGAATGCAAGCTGAGTTCGTTGATGAGCATTCAAAAGGCTAAGGCCACTGAATGCTGGAAGTCCGACACAGGTTCGATCCTAGGCGAATGGACTGGTTACAAGTTTCCTTTTTTTTTTGTGTGTGTGTGATTTTCCCTATGATGTGTGAATATAAAACGTGAATAAAACAAAACAGTTTCTATTAGAAGGTCTTTCACAAAAGCATAACGTCCCTTTGCGTACTTTCCCATTCGAATAACTTATAACCCAGCATTCGTTGTTTACTCTTATCCTAATGACTGCTTTGTGATACAGATTCAGAGGGAAGAAATCTTGTTGAGACACTAATCATCAATATATGATTAAAATCCAAGACAAGGATATTCGCCGTGTTTGATAGTTCAAAGTTACGCTACCGTTCTCGATTTTACTACAAATGTGGAAAGTTTGGCTAATAAGGAGCTCAATACGCCCGTGTCGAGAATAGTAAACATATTCTCAAATTTACACCAGGATTGCCTCAAACTTTCCTTCATCCTTGACCATGATGTGACTGTATATGCCTCTTAAATAATTATCAGCCGCCCAGACAAGAGACAGGTTCGTGACGCTGACTACCATACGGAAAGTATCGAGCTCGAATCCTGTAGAAGGCATGGATATTTGTAAATGCATACCATCGGCACGGCATGCAGGCAGTCCAAGTATATGGCTATACGGAAGTCCTCTCGAGTTGGTAGGTGGTAGAGAAAGAGGGCGGAGGACTCTCGGACCCACTGGCATAAGACAATTTTAAAAGCATTTTTGCTAATTGTAGTCTGACTTCCAATGGCATAACACTTTACGTTTTCTCTTTTGGGATTTTCACCTTGGGTTTTTCTCCTTTAACTATTTTGCGTCGATAGAAGCTAAAATTCGCGTATTTCAAACATCTAAAACGCCCACATAGAAGATTTATTTTGAAATGGATTTCTTTTCCCCATGCCAAGTAGAATGCTACAGCCTTAACAATAACCTACTTAAGTGACGCGATTACTTTTCTCTTGGAGATCTTTGTGTGGTTTCACCCAATGTGTGCAGTTTCCCCTTAGGAACTCGAGCATCAAATAAGTAAACGTTGTCTCTCAACAAAGGAAATTGAAGGTGCATTCAAATAACAGAACTATTTTTATTCGATTCAAGAGAATAATTGGCATACCATTTAACAACTCCCGAAAACAATGAGCATGCACTAACATGATGAGTGAAAGCACCATGTAGAAAATAGACGCTGGCGTTCGCACGACCTGCCGATGACTGAATGCTCCAGCGTTTCGGGCAACTTCGCTGTGAAAGAGTTAAATTTGTGGCGAAATTACGCAGACTCGTGCTGTCACCTATACGGTGCTCAAAGGTCACCTATATATGCCAACGACATACGCAGTCTTGCATTATTGACGTTTTGCGACAAAAAAAAAGCTAGCAGCAAGTCACTAGTTTAGCGTAGGTCATGGTAGTAGCTTTATCAATCGATGAGAATTGGAAGCAGCTTATTTTCCGTCGTGCGTAATACTGTGAACTGAGCAACTTTTGCTTCACACTTAACACTTTGAATGCCATTGCCCCACAAGTGGCCAAGTGAAGATCATTAAATACTGGGAGTTCGATCCCAGACGAACAGACTGACTGCACAGTTGGTTATCATGTCTTTACCCGTGTATATAGTGATTACCTCCTCTTAGGCAGACAGTCCTCGAGTACTTTGCCATATTTAAGTAACCGAACCAAACCTTTTATTGCCATGGTCACTGACCAACTCCAATTAATCGCATTAATTATTCAAAGGAAATACATATGTATTTTTCAGTTAAGTATGTTAGGACCCAGACATGCCAAGTACTTAAGCTACTAAACTAAGAGTTTGTGTCCCAGCTTTAATTATACATACATTTTCTATGAGCAAATAGATATTCATTACAAGCTGTTACAGGTTGAGCTTTTTAATTAGTTAGACTGTATCCTATGGTCTAAATACAGATGCTGACTAAAAGTGTTTTGTTGTGATTATAATTTGTTTTATAATGACCGATGCCATTGCTTATATCTTTGTTACACATATTTACCATGTGAAGCATTTTTACTAATTGTAGTCTGTCTTCCAATGGCATAAGACTTTACGTTTTCTCTTTTGACTAGTTGTATTATGAGAAAATCGCTTGTCCTTAGAAAAGAGGTAAATATTATATACTGCAGTTATGAATCGGATATTAAATAGCAATGGAATAGAACTAGCGAAAGTTTCTACATTTAGCCAAATCCAGCGTAATTTAGGCATCAGAAAAGTATTATTAAAAGATTAATGTACTATCTATTATGGCTTTATTTGTGACGTGATAATTAAATATCAGTAAAATTATATATAAATAAATAAATAAAAAGAAGTGTCAATGCAAGACATCTAGTTAAATGCTTACTTTATCTCACAACGCAGTCCGCTGTAACCGGACGGACAGAAACACTTTCCAGTCTTTCCACATTTTCCACCATTCAGACAGCCACCGGGACAATATGCTGAAATGCATATTTTGCACTGTTAGAAAATCACATTATTATATAATATGTTCCAGATTTCAATCCATGTATCTTATTTGGCATACAGTGAGAAACGCATTGCTGTTCACGTGTAATTTCTGTTTTCCTTACGTATTCTGCCAAATCTCTCCCAAACCCGCATAAAATCTTGCTTGAATATTATACTAATTTAAAATGATACCTATCATATGTATTGACTAATAGTATGTCACCTTGCATTTAAATTACGTCTTAACCCTGTATCATCTCGAATGTTAATAAAAGGATACATGGAAGCTTGTTTAATATTGAAATAAATGCTACGACAATTGTAATGACATTAAGGCATCCGAAACATACACACACGAGAATGCTGTTTACATAATTTTTGTTTGCTACTGAGCCTCTATTCTTCCATGAACGATGCGGGGGAAATTACGGGCATTGATATCCATGGCACTGAAAATCTGGATTCAAATTTTGATAGTGATATTCATAGTAACAAAAAGCGTTATTTTGATAAAACATTACAAGTAAGACGAACACACACACACACACACACCCAAAAAAAAAAAAAAATCCGCATCCTTTAGCTATGCAAATTAAGCGCCATATGCTGATAAACAAAAAGTATTAAATTACAGTAAAATTTACATTAATACTTTCACACGAGGGATTTTATTAAACTATTTTAAATACATACTATTAATATAACAAACAGATCACGTTTAAATGATATTTTACATAAATATATTAATGTTGACTGATAAATTCGCAAAAATGAATTGAAAAAATAGTTACCTTTTTCACATAAATATCCACCATAGCCTTTTGGGCACGAGCACTTTCCAATACCGATACATATGCCTCCATTCTGACACTCCGGTTTACACAAAACTTTAAAAAAAAAAGAAAGAAAATAATTGAAACTGGAATGAACAAACGAATCTTATAGGAAGAAGTAATACAAGAACAGATAAAGGCTAAAGTAAAGGGATGATAAAATAATATTTATTAAACAATTCCGTATCTTTACAACAGATGGCAGCACCAGTCATTTCATTCTGTGCAGCAAATTTCTTACTGTCGGTAAATATTTTTTGCAATACAGAAAATAAATAATGACCAACTATAAATAAGATCACTCGTAGTTATGCAGGTGTAATGAAAATGGAAAAAGCGATAAAATTATTCACAGATATTTGTTTTTTTGAACTTTCTCTTTCAAAGACGTTTTTTGGAGAATACTTTATTAAGATGCATTCAATTCCCAATTAACCGAAGTAGTAACTCGTATTCATGCTAATCCAAGGGTAATTAAAAAGGTACAGAGCATACGAATAGCGCATATTATAACATATACATTAATAAATATCAAAAAAGGTGCTATTAACAATTTACTTGTACTTTTAAACAATTTAAATAAAACAGTTAAAAATGAATTCTTTAGGTTACTTAAATTAAAAAACGTGCATTCTTGTTCTCTGTTTCTTCCTGTCTTGTCCCTATTAAAATTTTTAATTCACTTCGTGGTGCAACTGCTGTTTGTTTTTGTTTACATTACTCTTGTATTTCGATAGAAATCAAAGTGAAGGAGAAGAATGTTTTGAAATTCATTTATCTTTAATAATTATGAATTTGAATAAAATAATTCCCAAATATTGCGACATCATCTTATATCATGCCTGTCTTCTCACACACTTTCCTTTTTCTTTTGTATGTTTTGTGGACAGTTCTCTTTTATGCTTACGGTTTGTCATAGTAATTGTTCTATCTTTACACGTTGATATAAGATGATGTTACAATCTGACAGTAAAGCGTTTCATTGTAACAATATCACACGAAATTAAGAAGCTATAAGGGTTCTGAAAAGCTGGTTATGAAGAAAACTAGCTGAAAAAAACCTAAAAACCTGGCAGTTCTTATTAACTATCATATGTTTAAAGATATAATTAATATAAACAACGATCGATTTTTAACGTTTCTCATCAATGGCTACAAAAATATGTAAACTATGTAGTTTAAAAACTGCAGCGTTTAATAAATACTTAAACTATAATTTTAGTGGCTTCTATATCTTGGAAATATCAAATATTTAAATAAAATATCAGTATATCTAATTCGCTGAGTGATAAAATTTTATATTTAATTGTGAAGAAAGTAAAATTAAAAGACCAGCAAAGATTAGCGAAGGAAATTTCATGATTTGTTTCCCCATTTCCGATATAAGTTTCATGTTTTTTAATGCAAAATTTTAAAGATCACTTAATTTGATCGATTTCACTGTACGATTCAGGAATACTTTAAATTGTCCTTTATTTCCTGTGCAGTTTTTTAGCCATATCTTTTTGTTAAAACGATGCAGAATAATGTTTTTTCTTAAGGGAATGCCAGTTGGTCAATTAATTGAATATGGGCTTCCTATTTGACTTTCTAAGGGAAAGTGGCTCGTATCCAAGTGACAGATGGAGAAAACCGCGGAAACCAAGCATGCAGTCAGCCTGTTTGTCTTGGATCGAACCGAGTCGAGCTTCCAGTATTCAGCAGTCTTAACCACCCTTCCTTAAAGAAAAAGAGACGTCTGAAGAATTTTCTCAAAAAGGCAGTCAGTCGTGTTTTTGTGATTTTAAAACCCATTTTAAACTAGCTTTTCTATTATCTTTAATTCAAATTCGTGAGCTTCTATACATTAATTAAAAAAAACTATAAAAAAAGCAATACTCATAATATTTAAATAATTCAAAATACTCGATCATATTGTATGAGAAGATTGATTTTTAAAACTAAAATTAATATATCACGTCTTCAAATGCAGCGTTTATAACTGAATATTGCTCGACGCCTCTTCTTCTCTGCAACTGATATGACGTGTTTTGCATTTTATATTTATCTTCTCTCTCCTTTCCCACTCTCTTAACAAGAAGTCAAAATAGGTGTTTCTAAAATAAAAACTAAAGCTCGCCTTTCAATTCTGTAAGAACTGCATCTTCAAATGGGGGTGAATTTCCTCCATTTCTCAGGTAATTTAAAAATTATTTCTCTTCTTTTTTCTTTCTTATTTTTCCTTATCTGATATCAGATGTAACGTTAAAGGACAGTCTGATATGAAAATGGATAAACGAAATGGCAGCCTAGGAGAACTGGTTAAATGTAAATGTTATATAGAGTATACTTTATACTTTAGTCTCTGTTATTGGAATAGAGTCAAAAATGAATACTCACTCAAACAAATAAAATAATTAAGTTTCAATGGTCCCAAAGATTATTTAATATTTTGAAAGCCTGATTTTCCGCGATATTCTGTAAATTCTACCATCTTTGCTATCATCTCAAAAACGTTGGAGGCACTCTCAATGTAAAATATTTACATTAGTGAAATTCTCTGGTTCGTCCGCAAAAGGTTAAAAAACGCTTTTTGATGCTTAATGTTATGGATTCTCACTATATAATAATAAATAGGCATAATAGCTTACGAAATTACGAATAATTAACGAAGATGATGCGCTAGCATCGCTAATTGACTTATACATATAAATAATTCTGGTAGTGTAATGGTGTTCGTAATGATGAATCAAGTGGGGAGCTAGGATTTTTTGGAAACCAAAGAGATGAAAAAATATGCAACCGCCTTCGCCGGGAATCGAACCACGGACCTCTGGAATACCGGACCAGCGTACTACCGTTACACCACGAAGGCACGCTAGGGAAGTGGGAGAAATGCCCTATAAGCTCATTTCATCAGAACTTTTCACAGTCGTTCTTCTTAACATACTGGATATGTTTACTATTTTTTTTTTTTAAATTAGTGGATCATTTGGGGCCCTATGAATTTGGATCCCCTTCCGATTGCGACAATCCATAAATCCGTCCGGGTGTGGGTTTGATTTTCATTGAGCTAATGCTCCGTCTTGAACACTTTTACGCAAGCTGACGCGTACGAGCTGATATATAGAGATGGATTCCTCGATTCCTTTTAAAGCAAACTTGGTTAATAAACAATTCGGAAATGAATGTATTGCAAGAACGGAGTGACCACTATACTCTTTGTATTCGTACACTACTCCCAACTACTCTCAAAGAATTAGAAACTGTTCGATTAGAGGAATGGCAATAATTGCCTTCTGGTACGCTTGACCACTCAAGACATACAACGTCCCAACAGCGTTTGAATGATGTCAAGGATAATCAAATCCTTTATAAAACTAAGTTTCATTTGTTTGCATAACTCGTATATATATTTTTAAAACGCATAACATGTAATCTAGACACACAGATAATTAGAAATATACTTAAATATGTTCTGTTTGATATAACGTTTCAACCATGAATACATAATCAAAGTGCCTATTCCCATGTTAAATCTGGAGTCAGTCAAAATGCAATCTTTACACTTACGTCAAATTTACTATCAGTTGCTTAATTTTTAATGCTAGAGTTTTCTGGATACACTAAAGAATAAACTAATGTGCCTGTTTCTAGTTGCTACCAGTTCCACTAAAGAAAGATGATTTTATACCAGTTGATATGCAGTGCTCATGAAACCGTGGTTTGATATAGTTCAAAGTAGAAGTAATTGTTTTTGCAATATATGCGCGTAAATGTAATACTTTTGCTTAACATTGATACAAGTACCTTTCTCTACCTTTATTTGTCAAAATAAATTACTACGGATTACACAAAAAAGGTTCCAGCACAATTTATCCAGATAATGGTATCTTTTTATCTATCACTTCCAGGGACAACTATGCAAATATGTTTTCTGTTAACTAAAAAAAAAAAAAAAAAAAAAAAAAAAAAAAAAACAATAAATTAAAAATTAAGAAAAACTAATTAAAAGACTAAATGATAAATTGTCTGTTTGTTTCATAAATGTTCGCATAAATACATGACGCATATGTAATTCACATATGGACATTTTAAGGATTATGGTTTATTAGTTGTTTATTTGTAGCAAAACACCCTAAGCTATCTTACTTAGTGGAAGGACGCATTCATGGAGGATTTCCTAATGGAAACTGGTTTGCATTTACATTATTAAGATCAAAGCATGCTTTTACATTACGACCAGAGCATTCATTAAAAATAATTTTGGACGTTATTGTTACTCAGGATACACTGCACTACTAAAAAAGAAAAAGCATTCGCTAAAACTACTTTGGATAAACTCGATATAAATTTGCTAAATAAAATTTTAACTACGTTACTACATATTAGTTTGATTTTGTTTAAAATAAATAGGCAAGGTTTAACGCTGACATTAGAATTAGCTATCAAAATTATGCATTGTTTTCCTTATTATAATTAAAATATTTTTTGCTAAAGTACGAGTATAATGAATTTGTTTAAAAATGAGTGCATTTATTATCATGTTTCGCAATTCTTTAGCGAAAATAAATTATTCTTTTTATAGAGGCATTTAATATAGTCTTCGAAGCCTGTGGCAGCAAATAAGAAGTGCTACTTTTCACATATCAGTGAAGGCTTTTCTTTTCTTTAACACTAACTAATATGTTTTAGAGAGCATATACATATCTAAGAAAACTTTTGCTACTAAAAAAAATAAATAAATAAATAAATAAATAAAATAAAAAAAAATTAAAAAAATAAATAAATAAATAAAAAAAAATCTGAAATGTTTCAGATTTTAAATTACGTCCAAAGGGGCGTTTTTTAACATTTTTGTGTGTTACCTTTCTTTATTAAATATCATGTTCCTCGCACTTAAACCATAAGATCCAGTGCAACAGCAATATCGCAAAGTAGTTTTAAAACTAGCATATCTTTAGAATTTCCGATACAGAGACTCACGCGCTGGAGATAAAAATGTTTTTTCTTCTGCACAACGTTGCCATTGCTCGCTTTGAAATCCTTGAGTTTGTTAATCAAAAATTCGTCAA